GGTAAAAACTAATTTACAGTGAATGTCAGTTCTGGCTTGTTTCCAAAGGAATGTTTTGGGATGGCTAGCTGGATACTGGAAATTGTTTGGTAAGGATTCCTTGGTGAACAGATGAATCAAAGTGACATTTCCATTACCAACAGGAGATCTGTCTGTGGCCAGAATTCATGGGGAAGGATGTCTGATGATAGTATGACTTTTCATTATGTTTAATATTGTCAGAGAAATTAAATAGCCACTATTATTCATCTCTCTGGGGTAGTAACGTATCTGAATATTAACACAAAATGAGAGATCTGATCAAAACCCACTGACCCAGCAAGGCATTGATGTGTATTTTAATCACTCTCTTTGGGCCACTCAGATAATCTACTCTTCATAATAAATTGGCAAGAAGCTGTGGTCTGCATTTCTCAGGGCAGGGCTGGGGAGGATCAGTGTCCTGTCCTTGTGTGGGAGCCCTTTGGGGTGTCCCAGTGTCACCTGTGTTCCTGGGGGAGCAGCATCAAGGCCCTCAGGACATCTGCTCTGTTGTCACCTGCCTGTGGGCTGGGAATAAGTAAATAAATAATCCAGAGATTATAAATCATCCAGAGATTATTTATTGGGCTCTTGTTTCCCTGTCAGGCTCTGAGGAGGGGAGAGGTCTGTGGGGGAGAGCTCCAGCTCAGAGTGGAAAAGAAATGGATGGATAGGAAAAATGCAAAAGGGTCTCAGGAGGCACTTTCACCTTGGAAAACAAAAATTGTAGGTTTATTGTGAAAATTACAGGAGTCAGGTTGAAATGTGCCAGGGGCAGTGGCTGTATAAATGTATAGAGAACACATCATGAGGAGCAGACATTCAGGGAGGACTGATGGAGAAGGCATTACTGGTAATTAATGGCACTGCCCAAACCCCTGTGACTCACAATTCAGGCCAGATGATGCCTGTAATTGATATAAAGATGCAGACAGTTGCCTAAAACTTGCTGTGCTGTATTTTAAGTCATAGAGCAGAGGAGCTGGTGGACTTGTTTTGCATAAAGCATTTGCATTATGCAGGGATATTATTATTAACAGGATGAAGGGGTAACCCTTGAGGTCATAAAATGCATGGTTCAATGAGTGACTTTGACTGCAATTATGCATTAGAGATATTAATGAGAAGGCTGACAAATGAATTGGTGATGCATGTAGAACTAACCACAGCAAAGAGCCCTCCAAATCAATGCTACAAAAAGTTTGCCATTTATCTTCTTTATCCACTGATGCACATGTAAATTAAGTTCTTTTATTCTTTTTGAAATGTTCTTGTTGTTTTTGTTGTTAGAAGTTTGGTTTAGTTTTTGCAGCACAGAGTTAATTATTCAGGATTTTTTGCAGGATTTTACAGGATTTTTTACAGGAATGCTGTCTGATCAGAGGGGTTGGACAAGCTGACCTCCAGAGGCTCTTTCCAGCTGAAATTATGCTGTGATTCCACGAGCAGCATGCATCAGGACCCTCTGTTTAACACAAGTTATCTGCTGAAGAATCTGCTCTGCCAACTGGAGCCCATGGAGCCACAGCAGGGGCCATATTAATAGGTTGCTTATTTAATGCAATCAATCAGTGCAAACTACACATTGCCTGAGGCTGGAAAAAAAATATTGTTGTCCTCACACTTGTGACCAGACATCTGCTGTGGGAGATGAGAGGGGGAGGCAGGCTGTGCCAGGCCCTGAGGCCCTCAGGACACAGGCAGGATGAATGCCCAGCATGGCCCCTGAATGAGTGTGATACTGATGACTGTGGACCCAGGCATGGCTGAAAAATAGCAAATGTAATGCCTGTAGTTAAGAGAGAAAAGGAAAGAAAGTAATTTGGTCTGGTATTGGGTCTTAGAGCTCGAGAATATGTGTTCAAGGGAAAAAAAAATAGTTTAATGAAGAGTAGACAGAATGCAACATGGATTTAAAGGCTAATTTTTCACTGTGTGTCTGATTGCTTGCCCTGCCTGTCTCCATACAAGTGGAGGTGATAACATTTTGGAGAGAAGGCTTATTTATGCTAAGGGGCCAGGCAGGAGGGGTTGGAATCAGTGTGAATTGTCCAAGAAGAACAATGGCTGAATCTCTTTAACTGTCACAGTAATGGGGCTGTGTAATTGCTTTTCTGTCTGAATAGCAGGCAGCAAGACCTAGAGCCTAAAGACAGAGCAAGCTTGTAACAGGGCACATTCTGGCAAGCACAGGATGTTAAAAATCAACGCCAAAAAATGGCTTTCAGGCCTGTATATTTAAGACCCTGCTGTCTTGGTTTGGTTGTGCTGACTCAGTTCTGTGCTGTGCAGGGAGAAGGGCTCTTCCTGCAGGTGTGGGCGGCCAGCCCTCACCCTCCTGTTGTGTTAGGAGTGGGTGGGAGCAGAAAAAATAGACTGGACACAGAAAAACTCTCAGGGATGGTGGGCAGACAGCTGTGCTCCTCTCCCCAGCAAAGCAGCAAGGCAAGCTGAGACCTGTGGAAGGATGAAAGGACTTGGTAATGCACATCAACAAGAGGAAAATGAGTCGAAAATCAATGGAATTTTCTACCTGTGTAGAAATCAGAGAAGGTGCCTCAAGCACAGGGAAATGGTCACAAAGATAATGCAGTAATTGAAGGCTGAGACATCTTCACAGAGAAGAGCTGCCTTCAAGGTATAAATGCAGCAGGGGGAAAGGAAGAATTGAGGAGTTCTAAAGGACAGGAGGAGTCGGTTTGTCCTGCTGCTTTCTTCCCCTTCCCCTGAGCACTTGGGCTGCTGTGGCTGCCAAGGCTCTGGGACAGACTGTAGGGCTCAGAAGGTGCAGATTACTACTACAACTACTATTATTATTATTATTACTATTATTAACAATAATAAAAATACAATCATTATTATTAATCACTATTAAGGTAATAATAATAATAATAGTAATAATAATAATAGTAGTAGTAGTAGTATTGTATAGAAGCTCTGACATGACTGGACAGCTCCAGCTGGATGCAAATAACCTAGAAATTCCTCTGGAATAGCTAAAAGCCAAGACTATCAGGGTAAAAGACCTGATGCACATCTCCAGAGTGGGTGGAAGTGACTCACAGTACAACTGACCCTGTGGAAGAAGACACTGAAACCTGAAAGGGACCCAGAACTGACACTATTTGACAGAACCAGCCCTGGTGATGTAAGGTTAATAAAAATAATTCATGGGTTTGTGCTGGATCTGAGGCATGAGGAGAATGAGACTAAAAGAGAAAATTGAGCATATTGTTTGATCTCATGAGCATGAGAAGCCACAGAGCCTGTTCTCAGAGGAACAAATGAATTAAGATTTTACAGGCAGGGAGGGCAGGCAATGCTACATATAAAGATGATATTGCTAAATGTGTTTTTGTCAGTTCAGTGTCCACTGGAAGTTATGGAAAGCTCCAAAGAGAGACGTCAGAGAGAGCCAGGGGTCTGGTCCGCCCCAGAAAAATGAGTGTGGAGCAGTGCCTGTGTGTGTTCTGTGGGAGGAGGATCTGCCTAGTCCCACCCAGGTCATCCAAAGGGACAGGCTTTCCTACAAGAGCCAGGAAAGCAGAACAGGCTGCAGGGGGTGTTTGTGTGAGACTCAGTGCACAGAGCCTCCCATTGGGTTTGTGATGGTCCACCCTGGGGGATTTGCTCTTAGAGGACACTCAGAATGTCTCCAGTGGCTCCTGAATGTCTCCAGTGGCTCCTGAATATCTCCAGTGGCTCCTGGATACCTCCAGTGGCTCCCATCACCCTGCACAGCCCTGTGCCCACCTGAGAGGGAGCTGCCTTTCCCCAGTCCCTTTGGGGGCCATCCCTGTCCCAAGGGCACCCACTGCACAGCCCTGATTTCCCTGGGGGTACCTGGGGGTGCCGCCTGTGGCTCTTGGGGGCACAGTGGCACAGGGGGCAGTGTGGGCAGTGCCATGCCTGTGTCTGTACAGCAGCTTGGAAGTGAAATAAATTGCTACAAATTTATTGGAGCAATTTATTTTACCTATTTTAAAGGGAGCTTCAACCAATGTCTTTGTGAGTGCAGCAGAGACCATCCTGCTGAAAGGAAGGTGCCACCAAAGTCAGTGTCCCCACAGAGTTGTGCCCAGCAGGTCCAGAGTGTGGCTGTGTTCCCCTCCCATCACCCAGGGTGTCTGGATTGTGCTGGCACTGGGAATGATCTTCTTTCAGTGCTTTTGTAATTGTTTTTTTTCCCCTCCCTGTTATTTTTGGAATAAGCTTTAGAAGTGGATTAGAGCCCAGCAGAGGGGAAGGGGGGGCTGAACTCTCAGGTTGCCTCTTGCCCTCCTCAGAGCCTGGCAGGAGCAGCAGGATGGATGGTTCTGGGGTTGGTTTGGTGTGTTTGTCACACTGAGACCAGGGAAGTGACTCTTCCCAAGGAGTGTCACTGACTCTGGGTGAATGAGTGGGGCAGGGCAGTGTGGCTGTCACTGCCACTGAGCAACAGGGACATCCCTGCAGCCCTCCACTGTCACCTTTACAGAGCAGGCTGCAGGGCCAGGCCTGTGGGGGAACCTGGGGGACAAACTGTTCATCCATGGCACGGTGCTGGTTCCCAGATGGGAGGAAGGAGCTCCAGGGCCATGTTCCTGTGTGTCCTCCTTCCCTTGGGACAGGCTCCACGGCAGTGCTCCCCTTGAGGGACCCTTTCAGCTGGGCTAACACACCTGAGCTGGTCTGTCAGCCCAGTCCCCACAGACTGGGAGAGCTGCAGGCCACAGACCTTCCCCTGTCTCACGGCTGGGGTGCTGATTTAGGAGCACATGGCAGAGCTTTGTACCCTGATCCCCATGACCTGGCTGGGCTCACCACAGCTGCTCACCCCTGTGCTCTGGGTTTGTGGCCCTGAAACCAAGGATTCAGTTGGGCAAGGGGAATGTTTGGAATTCCCAGGTCTCATTCCAGTGTGTGTTCAGGTTATGGTCCTGATTGATTTGATGTGCAAAGCCCTTTTAGACAAATAAATAAAAAAAGAACAGGCACAATTTTCTAACAAGTAATGTCATTTAATGAATGATACACTCTAGAAAATAGAAACTACCCAGATGCTGGTTGGTTGGTTGGTTGGTTGGTTGGTCTGTTTGGGGCTGGGAGAAGGCCCTTGCTTGGACGTACAACGCCTTTGTGGGATTCTTTTGTCACCATTTGTAGTTGCTGGAAACAAGGACACGTCCATAGATTGAAAGAGACACCAAAGGAGCAATTGTTTTCTAAAATGTGGGAAGAGTGCAGGATGCCATCCCACTCTGTGTCACTGGGCAAGTGGCATGAGGGCTCAGAGCTCACCAACACCTTCACAGACAATCCATACCTAAAGGGACCAACGGGACCTAGCACAGCCCAGTCCTCTGGAGTCACTGCAGGCCTGGCACTCTGCACAGCACTCTGGGCTCTGCTGTTACTGCACTGCACTCTGGGTGCCTTTCTGCACGTGCTGTGTCTCTTCCCTCAATGTCTGGCTGCTAATTCCAGGGAATATGCTTTTCAGGATGTCACAGTAGACCGTGTACAGCTCTGGGTCTATGTTGGGCTTGGGCAGGGAGCAGGAGTTGCAGGCCTGCTCGATGCCTGGGTGCTGTGGCCAGTAGACATCGCTGAAGAGAGCAGTGAGGATCTTGTGGGCAGCCTTGTAAGGGTCATCCTCAAACTGCACCATGGCCTTGAGCTCCATCAGGGTGTAGCCGTTGTACCTCTTGCTGTCCTCAGCCAGGGGCTGCACCGTTTCACCTATGTGTCTCACCTTCCACTTCAGGCATTTCAGGTCTTCCTTTACATCCTCTAGCTCTTTCTCCATGGCTTGGAATTCCTGTGTGGTTACAAATCTCCTGCCAAGGAAAGAAGTGGCAGAGACAGGGTGGAGTTCAGAGGCTCGGAGGAGTGGGGTGAGCCCAGCTTGCCTGGGGTCGGAGCAGACAGTGGAGCTTTGGGGGGACATCCTGGCCATGTCACTGAGCACCATCCCCTGCTCTGCTCTGCTCTGCTCTGCTCTGCTCTGCTCTGCCAGGCTCCAGGGGACAGCAGAGCTTCTCTCTGCTGCCACAAAGGGAAAGTTGTGCTGCCTCCTCTGGAAGGAAAGGAGGCACCTGAAAACTGTGCCCTGCTGGAGGAGCTGAGGGTGACAACCTGGCCCAGGTCTGTCATGAGGTCTGGAGAGCTAAATTGGGATGTGGAAATAGGGCTTTTTACTTCCTGGGTAACAGGGTTTAGTGGAAGCACAGGGTGGGTACTGGAAAACAAACACTGGGAACATCTGAATCAAAAAAGATATTTAACTTTTTTATGGGAGGGCTTTTACTGATTCTATACCAACATGGGCTGTTTGAGGACTTAGACACCTGTGTGCTCTGGATACATACCTCTCATGATCAGGATCTTCCAGATCTGATTCAAACCCCTTTCCTGTATTCTTTAACTCAGTTTCAGAATAGCCAGGAGCCTGGGAACTCTCTTCAGGAGTCGCTGTTGCTGGAGGCCTTGTGCTTGTCCTGGTTGGGGTCAGTGTGTGATCTGAAGCTGAAGCTCGTACGTTTTGTGCTGAGTGAGGACAGAAGGTGGAGAAGGAAGCTGCATTGATCCCTGGGCTGACTGGAGAGCAGTCAGAGTATTGCTGTGGCTTGGCTGAGCTGGGTGTTAGACTGAGCCTGAGGCTGGCTGGGCAAGATGCTGGAATAGTCCTTGCTCCGAGTGGGCTGGAACACGATATTGCTAAATTTGTATCTCTTTGCTCAAGTGGTTGAGGGTTTGGTGATTCCCCTGGGGCCAATCTAGTGATGGAGGTGATGTCCAGCAGGGTTTGATCCTGAACCATGGAGATCTGGCTGGTTGGTTCTGATGAAAGTGAAGAGCTGCTTGATGTGTCGCTGGAAGAGCTTGACGTAGCGAATGGGGGGATTTTCTGAGCATTATGGTCACTCCTGTTCCTCTGCGGGCTAGTGACACTTAGAGCTGGGTGTTGTGAAGCCCTAAAGAAAGACAAACACACACTTTTTCCTCTGGACTGGGCTAAAGGCTTGTAAGAAAATTTTAGGCCTATTTTGGGACAATTTTAAGCCTGTTTCCCACAGCTGCATTTCCCCACAGCCTGATCTGCTTCTCGTGTCTGTATAAAACACTCTGCTTCTCATGACCAGGAGCAAAGCATTTGAGAATAAGGCACAGGAGATCAGGACCAGCTCCTCCCTGCTGCTGACTGAGCCCATGCCAGCTGTCCTCACTGGGACATCCACTGGGACACATTCTCCTTCCCAGAAGTCACACAGCTCTGTGAGAACCAAGGGTTTGTGCTGGGGAAGGACGGGAAGGGGTGAAAGCTGCGGGGATCATGGCTCTGAGAACACAAAAACCTTGCTGCAGGTGGCCACAGCACCTGTCCCTGCCCATCCTGCCCAGTGTGAACACCTGCCTTCCTTCCATGGGCCCTCATGCTTCAGTCTCCTGGGAGCACTGCCTGGGAGCCCAGGGAATTAGGGGATGGCTAAATTTTTCTTAGTTTGTCAATACTGATGGCAAGAGAGGAAAATGTTCCACCCCTGTGGCCTGGAACTTTACTGGCAGGTGGGGAATGCAGCTAAAAATGCCATGCCCTTGAAGGGGAACAAAGACAATCGCTGTGCAGATCATGGTGCAGGATTTCCAACAGCCAAAGGACATGACAAGCTTTTGTAGTGATGCCAGGGACCAAGTGAGTCTTTTTGTGCATCTGGTAAATCCTTGTGGTGGAAGGACAGCAGCAAATCCTGGTCTGGATGGGATGTGTGAGATCTGTGCATGAGGTCCTGTCCTGTGGCCTGAATTAGCTCCACGGTCACTCCTCCTCCTCCCTGCACTTTTCTCAGCGTTGGATGCAATTAAACACCAAACATTTAAGGTTCTAAAGAGCATGTCTCACACCTCTGGGCTTCAATAGGGTTAATTTGCTAAATCACAGCTTAATTATCAGGTCTAAATCAAATTTTAAAGGTTTTATAATTGGAAATGCAGACAGTTACAGAGCTACTGCATAAAAGCAGAGCCTAAAAGGAATCATAAAATGGGTTATGTAAAGGGCAGGAGAGAAAACAAGCTCAAAGAGAGAAAATGTGTCCCAGGGAGCACCTGGGAGTGCCTTGCCTTCTTAACCTGGCTGAACAGCACTGGAAGGCCAGAATTGCCAGCTGGGCGTGAGGAAAATGCTTTCACCCTGAAGGTGCTCAAACAGTGGGATAGAGGCCAGGAGAGGAATTGGGATCTCCATCCTTGGATGTGTTCAAATCATGCTGTGCAAGGAATGAAGCAGCCTGATCCAGCCTGGACATTCTGGGAGCACAGGACTGGAGCAGAGCCCTCCAGGGTCCCTATTCTGTGGTTCTGCCTAACTATGAAAATAATTTATTCCTCCCCTGTTCCCCTTCCTCCTCTCACTTTTCTCCCCTCTGAGCCCCACCTCACCATTCTTCTCTTTCATTGGAACCTCTGTTCCCACTGACTTTATGGTGCCTGCTGCAGGAGAGTCCGTGATGAATAAAAGGGTTTTTTACAGAAAAACCAAAGCTATTTGGCTCAGAGGGATTGCTGCCCCTTCCTTACATGTCAGTGTCAGTAGCTCAGGCTTTGGACCATGGGAGACAAGACACAATCCCACTTTAAGGCAATTAAAACAAAAATGCATTTTGGCTGTTAAAATGACATGTATTTACCCTAAAATATTTCACCATGTCAAACTATCTGAACTGAGAACAATCCCCACCTCCATTCTAGGGGGGATAGGATATGCACAGTAAGGGAAAGGCTATTTGGGTGCACATACAGTCTGAAAGACTTCATTTCACATGTTTAGCAGTGTGGGACAGGGTTGGCTTTTGAGGGGGGTGGTTTGGGGAGTTTTTTGCATAAATCCAGGATTAGCTGTAGGAGATGAAGCATTTATTGAAAGATGCAATTTAAAAGAGTGACAGAAAGCACGTTTCATAACTAATCCCACTGAAATTTATATAAGAAACCTTTCAATTCACCTGTGCACTGGAGGAAACAAAAAATGTATTATAAACTGTCAGCTTATTTTGCTTCCCTTTTCCACCCCATAGTTTTCAGGAGCTGCCATGCTCCACACAGGACTGCATTTACTTTTATCACCCTCCTTATCTCAGAAGCAGAAAAACTGGTAGCTCAAGAAGCAATGTTAAAGCAAAATGTCAGTCTGGATGTTAGCAGAGGTAAATGAGGACAGAACTGAGACCTTTAGCTTTGGAATTTCCTAGTGGGCATGGCTTTGCCTGAAGACAGGAATGAGATTCCCACTGCTGTCAGTGCAGCAAGGCTGGATCTTCGACCCGTAACCATGGTGCTTCATCAGAGGGGATTTTTCCCCACTCGCTTTTTTTTCTATGTGGTGAATCACTACGAACTGAATAAATTACAGGAAGAATTGCAAGACCTGGAGTTGGAATCAATGCTGACATGAAACAGGCAGCTGATTGCAGCTGTCAGGTACCTCCACAAGGAGAAACCTTGGCTCAACTTTGAGCGACACTTCAAATGCGTCAAGCCCTTGTTGTCTGCCGCCTCCCAGCCTGTGCTGCTCAGCATATAAAGCATGTTCCCCGTTGTCACAGTGACCTTGGCTGCCGTCTGTGCCTTGCCCTCTCCAGCTGAGCTGGTGCTACACACTTTTTTGGAGACATTTGAAAGTTGCCTGCACATCCAGCAGCACTTCGCTTCCATGGCGCTCATGACCGAGGGAAAAAAAAAAAACAACCAGTGGATATTATTTGGTTTTTGTTTTTTATGAATTGTTTCCACTGTGTTTTAAACCTAGAGTTCTTCTGATGAACTTGTCTGAATAGGAAAAAATGACACTATGCTTGAGAGTGAAGCACTGAGGGATTGGTTGCATAAATCTCACTGTAGACAGCCGGGGTGGGAGGATGGTAAAAGAGCTGTAGGATGGACCCAGGGGAAATGCCTACAGGGTGATGACATGAGAATAAAACTATTTTTTTCAAGGCCTCCTCTTTGTCAGGTGACCCTTCTGAAATGCCCACGCTGCCAAAACAGTGACATATTATTTCTTTAACACTGAATTAATTTTGAATAATCTCTCAGTTTTTTTACAAGAGCAGCTGTGTCCTGAACTCTGGGTTTATCTGCCTCAAATAACACCAAGGCTTTCAGCCACAGACAGTAAGAATTTGCTGTTTCCTGCTCAGCTCTTCCTTTTCTGGGCTATTTATCTCTTCTTTGGCTCTGCCAACACACCTGTCCCTCTTTGTCCTTTGTGATATTTCTCCTGCCTCTCTCTTGCCCGTTTGACATTCACCATCTGCACCTCTCCCACTTGCCCTGTGGCATCCAGGCTCCTCATGTTAATGCCTCATGTTGGGACAACTCTAGAGAAAGGGTGGAAGTGGCATGGACATACAGATGTCTGAAATCAGGGACTATTGCTGGCTGTGAGCTAATAACAGTGTGCTTTTCTTGCTAATAAATAACTGTGCAACAACAACAAAAATATCCTGAGGTGAAACTTCTATATTTTTGTGCAGGGGCTATACACAGCTGGAGCACTGAGATCTCACAGCCCTACGCTTCTGAAAGAAAAAGTTGAGACCTCCAAGGTCAAAAATGACAGCAAATAGACTTTAAAAGTGTCTGGAAATGCTAAATTGGGTATGTCCGGGGGTATCAGATGTATAGGGGCCGGTACCATATGTTTGCTCAGGAAGGCAGCTTGGGGAGAGCAGAGGATGCCAAGTTATGGTAAGAGCTCCCTGGTGCTGTTCTCAGCTCAGGTAAGTTTAAACCCTGCTAAAGGGGTTTAAAGGACAGAAAATAATTTTCTTTTTAACCCTGTTAAAAGAAAATTATAGTTCAGTGATGGACATTAAATGGTTTAATATAGAATTATCGAGACTGAATAACTGCATTGTCCTGATTGAGTCTGCTCTGGATTCAAGCTTCTGATGGAATTTATAATTTAAGGTCACTTCTCACAATGGAGAGCTCAGTCTTGCCAACAGAGGAACCTGATATCCTGCCCTGGCATAAGGCCCTTTGTGCTACCTGTGCTCCCACAGTGCTGTTGGGCTGCTCAGAAACCTTTAACATTCTCTCTTCCAAAATCACCTGGCCAGGTAGTGTTTGTCTTCCACAATTGCTCAGCCTCGTTCTCCTCTTTACAGCTTTTGCTCTTCCACTCCTCAGGGGCACTCCCCCAGATCCTTCCCTCTCAACAAGGACAGATGCCCTGGTTTGTCTTGCTGGGAGGACAGAAAGATTCACGACGCCTGAGGATGAGCCAGTTCTCCTCATCTGCAGCTTGCTTCAGGCTGGAGCCTCCTCAGAGCCCTCTGGGCGAGCTGCAGGTCCTGCAGGGGATGGGGTGCTGGCTGAGGAGAGCAGCAGGAACAGCTCCAGGTGGTGCCTCCTGGTGTCCTGCTGGCAGGGGCCACCCCTGTGGGACGTGTCCATGAGTGCTCCTGGTGACCTGCTGGCGTTTCCTCTGCTGGTGGCCCTGGGTTGGTCCGTTCCAGGTGATGTGTCCCCTTCTTCCACATCCCCATGGGGTCAGTGTGACCTTGGTGGCCCTGGGTTGGTCCGTTCCAGGTGATGTGTCCCCTTCTTCCACATCCCCATGAGGTCAGTGTGACCTTGGTGGCCCTGGGGTGTCCATTCCAGGTCATGTGTTCCCTTCTTCCACATCCCCATGGGGTCAGTGTGACCTTGGTGGCTGCTCTGCCTTTAGCCAAGCCCTTCTCTTGCTGTTTTCTCTCCATTCTCAATCCTCTGCTGGCCATGGGTCCCTGGAATGGGGGATGTGACAAGGACTGGGAGTGTGGGACCCTGGAACCAGCATCAAGGAGGATCCTGGGGTCAGGCCCAGGCCAGTTATGGCTTGGTGGACTTGCTTGAAGAAGGAGAGGTTCATCTGAGCGTTGTGAGGCTTTGTGCCATCCCAAGCAGCAGTAACTAATGGTTTTTCCTCCCT